TAATATATATGTAAAAAAATATGCATAAATACTTTTAGAAAATTTAAGTAATTTTTATTTTATTAAATTATGACATGTCTATCCTTTTTTTTTTAAATAATATTTAAATTAGATGTTTTTATGTCATTTTCGACACGTGTTTGAGCCATGTCGGAGGCGTATCAGTGTCTCACATGTCTGACCTTGCACTGCTCCTAAATTAGGGTTGTCCGTGCATCATAGATTATAAGTTTTTTTTCACCTAAATTTTAATTGTCGGGTGTTTTGTGTTGTCTTTATAGGCATGCGTTGGACAGGAAACATGTTCGATTGCTGTTGACGGGAAAACCTTCGGTGAAGATCAATGTAACGATTTAAGCAGCAGGAGGCTGGCTGTACAGGCAATATGTGCATAAAAATTATGAGTTTATGTTGAATCCATTCCTTTCTAAAAGTGCTTTTTCTAAATCAGAAGATATGTAACTATTTAAATCCATTCCGAATGATTTGAGAAATGTTTGGGTCTTATAAAATTTTCCCTTCGTAAAAAAGATGTCACACTCGATTAAATATGGGTGTAAACTTACAATATGTTCAATCAAATTAGTATTTTTTTTTATAAACGCCAGAGGGCTAATTTTATTGAAATTGAAAAGATACATAGAAGTTGTATGAGAGAACCCAAAAAAAAAGTGCCGTACCCATACGATACATCAGACGCTATCATCCTAAAATGATGAAACATAGATAAAACACAAAAACAAAACTTGTAGGAAATAAGCTGCTAGACACGAGCCAGCTTGGTCTTGCCTTTGCCTTTGGTTCTGGTTTTGCCTCTAGTTCTGGGAGCGGAGACAGCTAATAAATTGTTGAGTGTCGTTCCATTACCCAAAGTTATTAGAGTATCCTCCATCAATTTCTTAAGCTGCGGTGTGCCTTCGTTCTTCTTTTTCTTTCTAGATGTGTATACCTGTCATTCCTCATCCGAGGACTGGCTCATCTGACCGGTGTGGTCAACAGATTGTTGACATGTATGAGAGAATGGGCCCCCAGCTCCTGATTAACAATAACAACATTCTGATTCTGAAGAGATGGTAAGCATGTCTCTTCAACACCTGATGCATCCTGGGGATGTGGAGCATCAATACTATCCTGATTATCAGATCCAAGTAAACCATCTACCAAAATATCAGTCGAAAGAACAGAGACAATATTGTGTCGGGTGGTGGGAGGGGGAGGTGACATCGTGTCAACCGGTGTTTCAATAGTTTGTAGAATGCACTCAGGAGCGGAGGGACATGTATGAGGTGGTGCAGCTCCAGAAGTGTTTTTACTTGAAGGTTTTAAATTCAGATGCAACTGATAACATTGAGAAGGAGAATGTCCAAACATACGGCAGTTGGTACAATGGTACAATAAAATACGACAGTTGGTACAATAAAGTAGTATCTGTTCAAGTTCTGTTTGCTGTCAAAATCCTTGATGTTGTGTCTCAATCCATATTTCTCCCGGAAAAGGTAAAGTAATATCCCTTTCTATCAAAATTTTGGCTTTTGAAGGCCGATTCAGATTCATCGTAGGCGTGTCAGCTTTGAGGGGTTTACCGGATACCATCGTTAAAGCGAAGAGATACTCTTGATAAAAAAATGTGGATCTTCAAACCTGGGAAGCGCAACCAAACAAGAATGGTAGGAGGTTCAGTACGATGGTCAAAATTCACCGTCCATTTTAAAACCTTAATCACCTGGTTTTCTATTCTAAAAACTCTTCTCGCAAACAAATGAGTGTAATTTTTGTCATTTGATAATTGAATAAGAATGCGACGACCATCCAATTTACCGATCTTCCAACCCCCTTTCAGCTTCATTTGTTCAAAGTCCTTTCAAATTAGCTCAAGTTTAGGTTTCTATAAAGAAACTTACCTACTAAGAACAGTCAGCAGGGCGCAGCTAGGGTGGAGATCTCTGGCTCAGTGAGAAAGATTGTAGGTTTGTCATTTTTACGAGAAGGTTTTTTGAGAAATCCAGTTTCCATGCCAAGAGCAAAATTATCGTGGTATCGTTGTGGAAACATATTCGAAAGAGGGGCGGAGATGGGGTTATCACTGGCGAGGGCGGCAGTGTAGGAACGTCTTGAAGCCATTTATTCAGCAAGCTGTCGATCGACACAGACTCTTCTTCGCCGCAATCTACGATGCCAACGCGAGCTGTCGGCATCTGTGAGGAGGAAGACGAAGGAGGAAGAGGCGATGCGATCTGTCGACTTCGAACAGAGGCGACGAGATGCGATCCGTCGGCTTCGAAAGAGACGACGAGATGCGATCTGTCGGCTTCGAACATAGACGACAAGACGCAGGCGACTTCGAAGCCGCGAGCCGGCCGGAGAAATGATCTTCGATAAGGGTTGCTAAACATGGGGTGAAACCCTAGCAGAGCCGAGCGTGGGAGACAACATTTATATATATATATATATATATATATATATATATAATATGCCAAAATTTACAAATTAACAGAAAATATGGTTAAGACACATCAATTTGCAAACAAAGAGAAGACCACAAATAAAATGATAAATACCTCCAAATACAAATGCAAGGAAAATTGTATCTATAGATCGCGGTCACGATAAAGATGCCACTTTTGATATCTCTTGTGGCCCGGAAGAACAGGCCTCAATCGATGCGATTTGATGCAATCAGAGCAGCAGCAACCCCTGAACTCCTTTACACAGGTCCCACAAGACCTGCAAGTTATCATAAGTGTCTAGTTTTCAAAAGAGGGAGAACTAATTTTGCACAAGAGAAAATTGTCAAAATGGACCCTTTACTCTTTGTCGGAGTCATTTTAGGCTCTCAGTTTATAAAAGTGTTAATTTATGCTTCGTTTGGGGCAGCTTATCCGCTGTAGCGGAGTTTTCAAAACGCAGTCTCACAATTTGGAAACTGCGTTTGAGCGGCTTATCCGAAAATGCAGTTGATTTTTTACACTAAACGCGGGTTGAACCCTGCAGTTGGCGTTTTCAAATAAACGACTTATTTGGGTAAGCACAAGCTGCCCCAAATGCACCCTTAGTCTCTGAACTCTTTTAAAAGGGGCTGAAATAGTCCCCATCCTCCATGGGGATTATTTTATGGGGACTATTTCAGCCAACAATAAAAGAGTCTGAGCACTAATTTAACATTTTTATGGACTGTAATATTAAGATAACCCATGTAAATAATCAGAGGAATATTTGGCACTTTAATCTTTTGCACAAATTGTTTGCTAAATTATAAGGCATTGGTAACTTACAAAAAGAGTCTGTTACAGTCCAGATTTGCACAGTTTCTATGCCTGAGTTCCAGCACTTGGGATCTGCAGATGTAACATCTAGCAAATCTATCGCTTTCTGATGCTATTTTAGATCTTACATTTGTAATTAAGCTGGAATTGTAGGTGGAAGGAGGCAAAGAGAGTCGAGAATCAAAGACGAAGAGGTTTCCGATCCATCCAGTAGATCCTTCGCTCTTCAGATAATGAGAAACACCACCACTTAAGGTATATAAGTTCTGGAAGCCCCTTTGCCTGCCATACGAGACTTACGATACATTTTCTTTTTAAAAAAGGCATTTACATACATATCACACAATTCAAATATATTTACATATCTTCCACCAAGACTTTAATATTTACAGGCATGACACTCAAATCTTTAATACCACATAAAAAATAACACTATTATCATATTAAAGAGTGAAATACACCTTTTCATACATAAGTTTGAAACACCGAAGTGCTATGTATGTAAATATAAAAGTTTAGGTGTGATTTATGTGAATGCATAAGAATTGAGTGCCAGGTATGTAAAATTTCCTTTTGATAAAAACAAATAGGGTGATCCTGAAGGACAACAAAATATTCACCTGAGAATTGTAGAATATACATCGCAACGAATGCCGCCGGTACAATACATCAGTATGTCTGTATTTTCTTTATCTACTCCAAACAACAAATCAAAAGCAGCAATCTACAAAAATGAAAAAAATAAATGCCACTGTTGACAAGCCCACTAATATGAGAAAAATTGAATAAAAAAATGAACAAAAAGCAAGCATTTAGACGAAAAACTGAGCGACAAGCAATTCTGATGAAATTACACACTACAAAGGTGGAAAGAAGCATATGAGTTATATATAAAAATAATAGAAAATTAATACACGTAGTAGCACACAATTCTTATGTATTTACATAAAACTTTCATTTTTACACACATGGCAGTTTGGTGCTTTTAACATATGCATGAAAAAATATATTTGACTTCTAAAAAAGGATAAGAATACTATTTTTGATGTGAAATAAAAATTTTGAATGCTATGTATGTAAATATGAAAGTTTAGGTGTGAGATATGTACATACACAAGAATTGTGTGCTAGCCATGTATGTAAACGACCCAAAAAAAAAAATGTAGTGTTAACTGTCAACAATATCGAGATTCAAGAACTTTCAA